GTGTTTGCCTTCTGGACACTCATCACCCAGCCTGAACTAGTTGCCTGGGTTGCCCCTGTGGTCAAGAGGAGGCATCTTGAGAGGGTGATTTTTCCCACTGATCATGGATGGCTGTCAGCGGGGTATTACCTACCCTTCTCTCCAGTGCTCATTTTCTTTCTCCAGTGACCGTGGAAGGAGCCTAGGCAATGAACTCTTAGATGGCTGGTCTCCAAAGTCCTCCATGCATATTTACTTTTATCCAAGTGCCTTAGATAACATTTGATAAGCAGTTAAACCATTCTATTAACTTCATTCCTGCTTTCTCAGATTTGGGCTGTTATCCCCATATTTATTCCTGACTTGAAGCTAAACCCATCCTATTCATATTTATTGGCAGCAATGGGCACTTTCAGAAATCTGCCTGCGTATGTCTCCAGCAGCTTAAAGCCTGGTTTTGCCGTCTTAAGTGAGGTCCGTTTCACTGCAGTTTAAGGAACTGCAAGTGATTTTTGTTCTAATTCATTAGTTGGAATGCTTGCTTGATAAATGAAGATCATTCCTGCTTTACTGCCCTATGGGGCATCCCTTATGTACTCTATTAACCGGGAAGTTATTTTGTAGATGAGGGAGATTAGCTTTGTATTGCTGCTACATTTATCCTGTTAGATCACTTAGTATAGATCATTCTGCCAGTTTAACTTACTAAGGAAGGGAAGATTATTTTTGGCTGCTGGACTAAAGAGGTATTGTTCAGGCATACATAACGTTTTTGCTTGAATAGCCTTGTCATAACAAGCTCTTTAAAAACTCTCCTGCTCCTGCAAACTAATTAATTTCTCAACCATTTGCCTGTAAGGCCTAGATTTAGAAAGGAATTTAGGCATGTTTTTTTTTTTCTCTGGAACTTAAATTTACATGCCCATCAGAACAGTTTGTAAACCTGCTTCTTTCAAGCTAGTAAGGCACCACAGTTTTCATGTTGGTTTACTCAGACACTTAAATTTCTTTCTTGTGCTACATGGAAAAGTTGCTGTTGTGCCTAAATTGGCCTTATTAGCACTTGTTGAAGATAATTTGGGGTTTGCCAATTATGCCATACTTTGCCCTTTAAAGAGGCTGATCTAAGATAAATGAATTTGAGCAAGTTTGAAGCACGGTCCGGCACAACAGATACTGAGTAGCAGCTACTACTCGTTCAGATGGTGGGGAGGCTTTGCCTCGAGTTCGATCTCTCCAAGAATTACTTGCGTTTTGCATGATGGTGTGCCTCTGCAATTTCAGGAGCCAGGATTAAACCTAGGACTTCTTTCGGCTCTTCTTTCCCTACGTGTCCTCCTCATCCGAGATGGCTCTTACTCTTGTGAGGTCTTGCAGTGGTGAAGGTGGTACCTTCAGCAGGAGAGCCCACTCCAAACCTGTCTGTGGGCTGGTGTTCAGGCCACTGTGTTTGTAACTTGTCTGCATACTCTTTCGACTGCTTGCATTTTCAGGCAAGAGCTTCTATCACTAAAATATATTGTAAAGAACAGATAGCCTTGTGGCTATTTTGAGAAACCTTCATCTGTACTTAAATCCACACGGTACACCTTGAAATCCTTCCTGGATTTGATTTTAATCTCTTAAATGCCTGTTTCAACCAGTGGATGGTTAAATAAAATCCAGAGAAATGCCAGAATTTCCTAGAAGCCCTTCTTGTCTCTGTACCTATATCAGGAGATAGGAAGCCCTCACTTCTGTACGGGCATCAAATTCTTCTTTTACTTTGCAAAGAATACAAGTATCTCATACCATAACCTCTGCAGGTGGCATATAGACCATCCCAACTGTCACTGCTGAAGGTGTGAAGATGTGTCACTAACATGACACATCTATATATCTGCCATCTGCTGTGCACAGGGGAAAGAACATAACTTTTTCTGCCTGTAATTCTTGTGTATTCCTAGTCTTTATTTTAAATGTGTCAGGGTGTTTCTCTGGAATCTGCAACCCCCCTTGTGTTCCAGTTCAGCAGGAATACATTCCCATTTGACTTATCTCTGACTTCTTGAATAGAAACCAAGTAAAATGTTTTTTATCGTTACAGTTGAGGGGATGTAATATTGGAATCTGTTCTGGGAATCAGAATTGAATCAAATTAAATCTAATTTATTTTGGGCAGGGATGGCAATAAGCGCTGCTTGTGTTTGAAAAGGAGCTTCTGTGGGAGTGGCGTTCTTCTAAACCCCACCTTCTCTTTGAATTGTGTACATGCCCACTATTTTAAGTGGTATTAGACAACTGATTTGTCAAATACATCCAGACTTAGGAACACATTTTACGCAGCTCATTCTAGAACTGCAGAAAGCAAGCGTGTTGCCTTTTGGGTCTTGAATGGACGATACAGTACAAACAAAGCAAACTTCAGCAACAGTTGTTTTTGGTTTTTTTTTTTCCCCAGCCTAAAATACTAGACTGAGTACAGAACCCATCTCTCCTTTTTGCCTATCTTTCTTCTGAGCCTCCTGCATTTAGAGCCACAAAGTGATGGATCACCACAGTGCAAATATCCAAACCCTTGTAGCACAAAGCTCATCCCTTTCCTGCCTGGAGGCTCCCCTTCGTACTCAAGACTCATGGCAGGGTTAGGCTCCTCTTAGCGGCAAGACTCATCATAGCCTGTACTTTGGGCTTGGTTTTGTAAGGAAGAGGGATGGAGGAAGGCCTTCCCTGCCCAGTTCCATGGCAGACAGCCACTGCTTGTCCTTGTTTCTGTGCTTCGACATGGGCCATGCATCTGGTCCCATCTCTTTGGTAAGAGATGCAAATCACCATGTTACTATTTTGTCCAAGTAGGAGAGAGATAATTCAGCTGTGCAATATCTCTATATCTGAAGTGGGAAGGCAGCAAAACCTTAGATACCTTGCACTGAAAAACACCATCTGTTTAAGTTCTAGAGTGTCTTATAATTTGAACAGCGATCTGTAGTAATCAGTTTTCACTTGTCCATGAGGAATTAGTTCACATAAGCGTATGGTGATGTGCCCTTGGGACCAGGGAAGTGTCTTCAATAACTTGCGGCTTTGTGAATATATACACTTCTTGGAATCTGGGCAAATTCCTAAAATTGACCATTTAATTGTAAAGTTTCTAATAAAGCAAAATACCTTGTTTTCCTGCATTTTGCTGTTAAAGCTGAAAACAGCATTTTCTGTGCTTGCTCTTAAGGAGGACTCAGCAAACCTAGTGGGAATGTGAAAATGTTTCATAGCTAAGTTTTAAGATAAAAGGAATTTAATCAAATAAATAATACCGGGTATTTATTTATTGTCTGAATCAAGGCAGAAAGCACTAAGCAGGGGGAAGGGGGAGGAAGAACAGATTATCCCAAATATGTTGGCAGTGCACATGGGCTGAGTAAAGTTCGCAAGTGTCCCGCATCACATTCTTGTGTCTGTCGTATTACATCATTTTAAAAATAAATGGTTGATTGTGTAGGGGTCAGCTGAAGTATTTTTAAAGCCTCTGGTCAGTAAGGGACTTGAAGGCTAGTCTCCAAGACCACGTATACAGCACTTATTAGCATCTGTGGCACATACTGCTCTGTTTTGTTGCCTCTGCTAATGTTCCAAACCTTTGCAAACAAAGCCACAAATGCTATGCAAAGTTTCCATTTAAAAGGTCTGAAACAACAGTTGCAATCGAAGAGGAAAGTTGATGTTTTTGCTGCTAACTGCGTGTGTGGTGCTTATCTCTCTACTTCACTGTCCACAACCGTAAATTCTCAAAAGCAACTTTTCCTTAAGGTGATTTGAGGTTTTTATGGAAAAGAAGGAAGCCCTACACATGTATTAAGGTGCAGGCTGAGTGGAGGTAAGATGGGAGAGGAAATGAAAGAGCTGTAGTACTCCACACTGCCCTCCCGTGGGGTTGCTTATTTTTTCCCAGAGGGACTTGCAGTCAAGCTTATCCAGTTTACAAAGGGGAGCAAAAAAAGAGAAGTAATACGGAAAAGGATCCACGCTAGGGACTACTCATAACTGCTATTCCAAGATTTTTCCCTGCAAGACAGATCCCAAAATCTATTCAGACCTTGAGTGGAAGGGAGTTTCTTTTAAATTGAGTTAATGAAGGAGACTCATACTGACAGCAGTTAAATCTTGGAGTTATATATTCAGCAGATTCAGTAATAGCTGTACTTTTTTAATTTTTTTGTTTTTTAATCTGGAAGGAAAATGAAGCAGTTGCTTAATGTACAACATACTATTTGCATATAGGATGGTGATTGTATTTGGATAAGGATTAAGCCGATGAAGGAAAATTCACATAACACACCCCAGATGATGTAAAGCGGATGTTCCAAATCATAGACCCTGAGACAGTGTAAGTGGTTTGTGGAAGTGTACAAAATAGTAAAATCAAACTTGTAAATTAAGCTTGATTAATTCATGTTCCTCAAGAAACTGAGCCTGACATTTGCCCAAAAAATTTTCAAATGATTGGCTCAGAGAAGCAGAAGATCTAGCAAAAAAGATCCTCTGCAAATAGCAAAGTTAGTGTGTTTCTTCTCCTTTGTGCAGCTGTCAGGAAAGTCCAGTGTTGGAAGAAGTGGCTCTTAAAGGATTCGGCCATTATTATGCACTTTTGAAGAGTTTATGATGGCCCAGTACAGGCCATAAATACATAAATATATGGTCAACAGTAATAATTTCTAAAGTGCAGCTTGGTCTTATAAAATGGTGTTAACAGTAGGAATTAACGTAATGTGGTGGTTTCTTGGGTGATTGACTCTTCAAACCATAGAGCTTTGTAAATGTTCCTACACGATCTTACCGGGTTTCAGTAAAGTTGTCCTCTGGGGTGTCTTCTGTAGTTCATACAGCATTAAACACATTTGGGGTTTTAGCACTTTAGGATACAAGTAGTTGGCCAAATGGAGCCCGGAGTTGTGATAAAATAATTGCTTCAGCCTTTGGTTAAACATCTGTATTGCTCGTGAGCATGCCTGACAGCTGTGATTTATCCTTTCCTCCTTTTATAGTGATCGACACCATACATCCAGTGCAATTCCCGTTCCAAAGAGACAGAGCTCTAGCTTCGGCAGATTGGATATTGGCTTTTCCAGTGGGCTTCCTTCTCCAGATAAAGGACTCCGAAAACGAGCCAGCACGGGAAACGAAAGACTACAGTACAAAACTCCTCCTCCTAGTTACAACTCTGCTTTAACACAGCCTGTTGCCATCGCAGCCCGTGTAGGAGAGTTAGATAAAAAACCTGGATCGATATCTTCTTCCTTGGATACCTCTATGGACTCCTCAAAAGGAAATACCAAGAAAGGCGAGGACTTGTGCAGCAGTTTAAATGGAGAAAACGGGAGCCTAAACAATGCCCAAGAGCAGCAGGAGTCTCTCCTAGGACATAGTAGTGCAATAAACGGGGCGTTTCTGCCTGCCGAGTGCTCTGGCACTGCAAGCAACGAGCAGCCCTGTGAGTTCCGACCCACACTGGGCCCTGTCCTTTGCTGCACCGTGGAGCAAGCGGAGGAGATCATGGGGATGGAAGCGACGGGGTTCAGCACGGGAGACCAGCTAGAAGACTTTAACTCCATCCCGGTGGAGCATGCCGTGGCAGTGGAGTGTGATGAACAAGTCCTAGGGGAGTTTGAGGAGTTCTCTCGAAGGATCTATGCACTGAATGAAAACATGTCCAGCTTCCGCAGACCGCGTAAAAGTTCGGACAAGTGAGCTTGGACAGGGATTTGATAGCAGACATTGAGGTGAAATCGGTGATCTGGAGTAGAGATAAAATTGCACTTATTCTTTATATTAATTATAAAAAAAAAAATAAAATAAAAAGCTAAAGCTATTCCTATGGTGTTAGACAAATGGACTTGAGCACGATAACACAGGATCATGGTATATTCCCAGCCCAGGTAAATTTTGATTCTGCTTCCAGTCCTCTTTTGTCTGGTATTTGTAATCTGTTGCAAATTTTTTTTTAGGGATTGGAATCCATTTATAAATGCTTTCGTGGAAACGACTTCTAGTGCTGATCAGGCCCTTCTCTGAATATTTGTTAATTTCTTAATTATTATTTAGAGTTAAATTTAATCTTTTCAGAAGGAAAAAACCCGTAATTTTAAAATGCCATAAATTACCATTTATGGCAAGACCTCTTTACCTTCTCCCGTGTACTCCTGTGTTTTCTTGAGCAATGTAGCCAGCGTTACAGAAATACCATGAATTTGTTATAATTGGACAGCTTTCTCTTTGGCTGTGCTTTGTAGCCTTTGAAGTTCTAGTTTGCACTGATGGGTCTTCAGTTGGCGGTGTAAACTTGCCAGAGAATGAGCACCTGTGTGATATCTGCAGTTTCCTTGCACCTGACTAGTCAGAAATTACTTTGATTTTTTTTTTTCCCTTCCTTTCCTCCATACTCACTGTTCCTACCAGTAGAAGCCTTGAGGACTAAATTGCCTCTATGGTTTCGTATAAAACTCTCAGCCTGACCATTCCCTGATTCAGTTGGGCACAGACCTCATCAGCAGAGACCTAACGAAGGCACGACCTTAAGAGGGGTTCAGCTGCCACCCTCCGCGGTGTCCATCAGGGACCGCGTGCTGTGAGGCACTTCACAGATGTCTTCATAAAAAAAAAAACAAAAAAACCAAAACAACCCAGACTGAAAATGCAGTCAGCACTTTGGAATTAGGTGAATTTGTGGAATCGCTCCACCCTCTGTAGAAAGGAGGCACTTAACGTTATTCATCTAAATTAATATCCTTTTAACCATCTGTACTTTAAAGGAAGAAACTTCCAGCAGTTTGCTGGAGGTGCAGTTTGCTGTTTGGTAGGTTACCACTGGCACATGTGTTCAGCTGCACTAATGGGAAAGTAATTTGCAGCCTGCTTTGTGATTCCTGGTATTTGTTTCAGTTTGGATTTCATTGCTCTTGCTTTCTATATTGTATACCCAAGAATTTGGGCTCAGTTGTGAGCTCTCGAATATAAAAATATATAGCAGAATAAAAACCACTTCATCATGCCTGGCTTTTTTTTTTTTTTTTTTCTCTTCCTCCTCCCTGGTCTACGCTTTCTTTTGAACCAATGACCTAGTCTTTTTCCTAACTTCACCGTAAGGCTAGCCTAAATTAACTTTTTAGAATGTGGATATGTGTAATCTCAACTATCTGTTGTCGAAACAAGACGTGTATGTGAGAATCAGTATACATAATAGCACTGTTCTAGAATATGCATTTTTCCAGGTAACACCTTAATGATTGTATTAAAATTATATTCACATTTCTTCTGTTAGCTTTTAACGGTTGTGTCTGCAGTGGAGTTGTTGGATCGAGCCTTTCTACAGCAGTTTGTTACCTTTGGTCTGTGCCAGTACGATGTGCTAGATAGAAGCTCTCGGAAGCAGAGACCGTGATTCTGTAAGACGTTGAACATGATTCCAGGTGCAAATTTGGGCGTGGAATTGGACACATTCATGAGTATCTTCTCCCCAAAATAAGCTCCTCTGTTCCGACCTCATAAAAAGCTTCCCTAAAGGAAATGCTCAAAGCACTGCCATCATCTTTGAGAAGAGATAGGTTGGAAGTTCTTGCTGTTGCTTGGGCAACCCAAAAGCCAGAAGTAAGCACCTCAAAGCATGGCACTTATTGATTTAGTAGGCATAAGATACTCTGTCCTGTGACTTGACCTCACCGTCTTCTGATAGCACTCTAATATTAGGTGAAATTTGGTAATGTTGAGTCAGTCGTGCACCCTGCAGGATGGGATCTGGCACGCTGGAAGCAGCACAGACCTGTTTGTAGGCACACTCGCTTTCCTTTATAACAGAAAGGCGGTAGCTTGTGTGTGGTGGTGACTTTTCAAAGCAACCCAAAGAGTAGTTGTGCAGTCGCTATGTTTCGTAGGCAAACATGGAGCGTCTCAGTGCAATTAAGCGACACGTGAAATTAGGTTCATAGAACATCAGTGGGACTTTGGATATTTTTTTTTTGTTGTTGTTTCATTAGTTAACGTGTTTTCTCAGGTTGCACCCGACCAAATGAAGCCTGGTTTTCCTCCCCGATGTTGTGTTGCTGTTCCTGTTTGAGCCCTGTAATTGTTAATGTGTCAAACACGATGGTTGATTTCTGTCGCATGAAGCTTCTTTGACAGGATTTCTATGGCTGTATCTTTAATGGGCCTTAAATTGTCCCCACGTTTCTTTTCCACTTACATCACTGCCCGTATGGAAGGTGGTGTGAAGGGGGGATGGCATCCTAGGGCTAATTAAAGCATTGACAAACTTCTCTTTGCTGTGAGGATGGGGGATTGTACAGACTGCAGCCACCTCATAGCTTTCTTTTTTGTGTTTACCCCCCCATAAATTACTTTGAAAATAACGTAGTGGGAGAGCAACAAATAGTAGGTTTGAAGGTGAGATGATATATCACAGTGTGCTTTAAACTATCAAGAGCCTTTCAGTTCCTGCACAGCTGTGACACTGCTAAATGTCTGCAAATGTCTTCAAGTGGAGAAAACATTTCATTGCAATCTTTTCCCCTCACTAGGAATTCCTAAGATTTTTGAGAATATTAGTTTTGGAAGATCATATCCCACTATATTTTTATAGCAAGCACAACAGCATTGGCTTATCTTTGCTTGGCCAGGTATTTAAAATAAGCAAAACCAGAATATCCCATAGTAAATGACACATTAAAACTATGTTGGTAATTGCGGGAAAGCTCATCTGTATTTATAAAATAAAACTGATTAGTATCTCTCAACCTGTGTGTGGCTGCTTTGTGTTTGTTTTCTTTACAAGCCTGATTTGAACCACACCATCCTCCCCAGTCCCCCCAAACTCTTTGGCTTATTGTTCATCAGGCCCATATTGATCAAAAATGTGAATATTTGGGCAAGAGGGTTTGCTGGAGGACCCCACTGTCTTGTTGGCTCCAACTCCTATTTCGCACGAGATGGTGCTGCAGTTGTTTTTCATACTTCCAAAAAGATGGCACGCAGCTGGAAAAACAGCCTACGGCGGGGCTGGGAGGCAGCTGGGTTTGCAGAACTTTACGGATAGTGGAAATGCCGTCTTCCCTCATCAGGGAGGCATCGCTACTCATCCAGCACCTTCTGTGATCCGAGCTAATAAGCAACATCTGTCTGCCTTAAAAAAAAACCACTTCTGTTCCCCTTGAACAGGAGTCAGCTGCACGAGCCTTGGGAGGAGACAGGCCACGACATGGACTCGCTGGTGTGAAGCGCTGTGATGGGAAGAGCTATGGGCACTCTCCAGGCATCATCAGAGCAACAGGTTTTGTTGGGTTTGTTTCTTTGTCCTTTTCTCCCACCTCATCTGTCTGTCAGCAGAGACTGACATGCCAAGACACCAACCGTATAGTCCAGGAGCTCAAGCGGGAAGATACAGGAGAGAAATTTTACTTCAAGCTGTTTTGCAACATTGAACAGCGTTGTTGAAATATCGTTGCATTGAAGTGAACAGTAAGCTATGGATGGGAAAGGCTTGTATGGAAACGCAGCTGGAGGTGCTGCTGGAGAGTGTGGACTCGTTCTAGGTAAACCTTGCGCTCTTGTATACCTCATTTTGTCACCTTTCAAATGGCCGGAGAGGGCATTTCTCCTTGCTTTATGGATTTTGACCTTTTTCAGGTGGAAGTGTTTGCACATGCTCCGTGTCCTCTGAAACAATCCGGTTTAGCTGGTAACTGTTGGCAGCCGTGAGCCCCTCCTGTCTGCAGACAAGGTCTTCTTGACCCCAGGTGAAAAAAACATTTTCCAGGAAGAAAAAAAAAACAAACAACAAACCAAACAACTAAGACTTCGTTTAACTGCTGGTTGTTTTGGTATCAGCTTATTTTGTGTATGTACTTTACATTAAATAGTATGAAAACCTTTTTCCACTACGTAATTGATTATCAGACATCAGTCTGCTGATGGTGATATTTGTCCTATATGTATTACATTGACTAGTTTGACGCTTAATCTGTTGGACTCTGCAATTTAGCTTTATTAGGTTACGTATAATATGTTGTTTTGATAAAGCCATACTTGGATTCCTGAATTTCCCACTTCTAGAACAGCTGTATCCATTCTGGTCTTGGTTTTAGCAGGGACAGAAAGTCTTTTTCCATGTTGCACTGACTTGTTAAAGGAAACTAAAGCAGCGGCCATCAAAAAACTGAAAATATTTTTTAAAATTAAGAAAGAAAAACTGCTTTCTGGTAGTCAGGCCTTACAAAGGTTTCACTGACCCAGGTTCGTTAAGCCTTGAATTGGCTTGAGTAACGCCTGCGCAGTGGCGCTGCTTTCCTCAGCTGCAGCAAGCAGACGCTTTCTGCTCTTGCACAGAGGAAGGTTCTCCCAAGATGCCTCGTCGAGGAGAACATGCCCCGTGTGTTCTGCTGAGCCTCCAAGCCCACAGAGCCCGCCAGCTCTGACAGGAGAGGGGAGCAGCAGCCCTCAGCCTGGTGCCGAGCGCCTTTATTGATTACCTGCGCTAACTGAAACGAGTTCAGGCTGTTTATTTAGGCAAAACTAAATGTAGTTTCCTTGGCTGGGCAGAGGTGAGATGAGGAATAAATCTAACACTTGCTCTAATTATTGATTTTTGGCCTTTTAGCAGCAGCGCTTTGGCTTTGTCACGCGTCCACCTGCCAGCAGTGGTTCACAGCCTGTGTGCCAGAGGCATCGTGTAACTGCAGCAACCAGCCCCTTCAAGGGACCTGTTGGAAGGAGTTTGTGCCATTAGCTTGGTTGCAGGCAGTGCCAGCAAGACCTTCATCCCACCTTTGCGAGAGAGATAACGCTCTTCAGCAAACATCACTGAAAGCAACTAATGCCTTTTGGGGATGCTGCTTGAAATGTGAGCTGAGCCTAAACCTCTTGAGTCTTGTCAGCTGTCTTGCGTGGTGTGTGTTTCATGTCTCTGTTTAAAAAAGTGTTTGCAGATCAGGTTGCATGGTCACATCTCAAGCATTAAACTGAAATTGTGGGCAACTCCTGAAGTACTGTAGCATATTAATGCTGATACAAACTGATCTACAAACGTGGAACGGTCCAAGTTGCTAAAAATTTCATAGGAAACGCCTGTATTTTTTAAATAGCATAATGAGGTGGTTTGGTCAGTTAAGCTGCGTGTATATGAGAAGCTGTTAAGCTTGAACATACAGTTGGTACTGGTGGAAAATCCACCAGCCCAGCCATCCTGCTTCTGCCAAGCACGTTGGCCTGGGTGTGGGGACTGCCCCCTATGGATGGGATGGGCAGAGGAAATCCAGCTGTGTAGAAGTTTGTCTCTCCATTATCCATTGAGGAGAATTTTTTCTCTTCCTCATCCTTCTTTCAGGCAGTGGAAGATCAGTGGTGCGGTGTGGTGATTGGATTACCTGTGCCTACCCAAATTTTAATCTCAGCTCTACCTCTCAGCAACTGTTCTGCTTGTGAGTCTCCTTGGGCTTCTCTGCTCAGGAAGGCAATACCCTCCAGCTGGCTGGTTCACTGCTGCCAATGCTGCTGGTGCCGAGTGCTTCTATTTTCAGCGTGAACATGCTACAAGTGAGGCGTTTTTGGCGAAAAAAATATAAAAATCTCCTTTTCCTTGTAGGATACCTCCTGATGGAGGATGTGCATGCCGCCTTTACCATTCCTTGGTGAAGCTCTGCAGCAGAAATCTGTCCCTTCCTCTCAGCTCTTGCTTCTCTGGTCTCGTTTTCAGGAGACTGGTTTCAACCATTGGTCTGAAATCAGGAAAAGTCTTGGCGTGGTTTGGGTTTGTCTTCTGCGGTTTCATCTGACCTGGCTAGTGCTGCTCGGAACGTGGCTGTTGGGTTTGGAAATCATTTTCTCATATTAATCTTCTTCTCCCTGTAAATTTGCAGCGATGGTGAAATTTTACTGCAACCCGATACCATCCTCGATGGTTTAATTGGAGACACGAGTGAGCTGGCAGAAAGACAGAGGACCCTTATGTGTATCTGTTTTCTGTGGCTTTAGTTCCGTGTGCCCTACACAGGACCGAGAGGGAACGATTCCTCGAGGGGGGATTGGACACCTGACACAGTGCAGATGCTTTGATAACATCTCAGCTTTGTGGTAATCTCACAGAGATCCTTTCTTTCACAGATGTTTAAGCCCATGCTGGAAGGAGCAGCAGTAAACCAAGTTCACCTCTGTCTAACTTGGACCCTACAAAGTTCTCCGGTGTCCTGATGCCTGGTCTGAAAGACGGGGAGGATCCCCCGTTAATGGAGCTGTGCTCCTGGCCACAGCTTAACACCCATCCCTCAGCTGAAATCAAATCTGCCTGGCTTTTAAAGATCCTTGGGCAGCTACAACTCTGGGTCTGGAGGAGCCTGAGCTTTTTAGCGCTTCAGTTGCTAATTTTGCTCAGCTCCACAAGTCTGTTGGGTTTCCTCAGTCCTTTTCAGGAGGCAGAGATGCTCTGTGTTGTATTGCAACAGCAACAGCGTGCGGTTCCTTAACCTCAAAACCAAAATGCTGGTTACAACGCTGTTTTTAATCTGTTCCCTGCAGG